CCAATGATAGGCATATTTTGAGCATTGCTCGCTTTCAATGGATGATAACCGAAGTTCGGTTTGCTGAGACTATCGAACAGTCCCTTTCGGTTGCGCTCAGGGACCACTGATGTTTAAGGGCCAGCCAATTTCGGTGATCCTCGGAAGTTGAAGAACACGTCGCAGCGAATTCAGATCGTGATAGTGAGGAGTGCCAGTGAAGCAATCTCAAAATGAGCATGTAAAGATGAGCACGGCCGGTGGGCACCAAAGAATGATGCAATTCAGCGGTGTTAATGACCTAAACCTTATTGAGCCGCCAGAATGACAACGATGAACATGGCTCTTATAAATCAAAAATTATGATAAAGGACGAGTCTAATAAATCTGTTTGATATTGAGATTTATATACCGTTTTGCGCTTGGTTTCATGTGGAAGCAATTGAGAGAAGGATATTGAAGTCGAAATAAATCGTTGCAGTTAGGGTGGTTGCCATAGCCGAGATACTAGGTGGTTGAACTAAATAACTCATCGACGAATCATCCCTCATCCGCACTTCAAGCTTTCCATTAACCGGTGCAGTTTGACTGCACATTTTTGGAAGCATCTGCGAAGTGATTCGAAGCGTCATACGAAGACAACAATTGGGATAATTTTTCAAAACTGAATAGCTTTTGATCTAACATTTTAGTTACTGCAGAAGATCTGACAGTGAATTCTCAGATCCTAAACCAACCATAATTCGACGATAGCGATGTAGATATTTATAATGTTCGAGGAGGTACACATTTTGAATGGTGAGTAAATACAAACAGAAAGTTACCCTCAGATGTTGCGACCTCTGGATTGGCATTAGTGATATGACGGTTCGGAGGAATGTATAACAGATGATAATATGAATGACTGCCCCCAAAAAACGGACCACCGATCATAGAACAATTCTAATTATGGTGAACGTATAATGTTGAGTGGATCGTATACAACGAAACTCATCAACGCAATGCTTCCTTTCATTAATTCAACCACTGAACAGCATCACATATTTTAATCGTTTTCCATTAGTGAAATAGATTTAAAACTACATCCATCATATTCTAGAGCAAACGCTTAAGGTACTGAATGCCTAAAGATTTTGCTTAAGAAAAGACAGAAAATTAGAAGATCTCATTTTGTTCAGACGCACACACTCGGAAAGCGAAAACTAATTTGAAAGAACGTCTGAACTGGCGGAGTTCATGAACCATAACGATGTTCACAAACTCATTGATGCATTCCAATCACATGAAGGCAACCGTTGTTGCTCTGCAATATCTCTTCATTAGCTGCTGTAATTAGGTAAGAAGACAACGGCACATGCGATTTTTGGGGCAAAAACAATTGAAGTGTACCATTATTTCTATGAACGAATGATTATCATTATTCTTTGATGCTCACAATCACGTCGGCAACACTAACTGCATTTTTAATCATTTTTTCTTGTTTCTAGCTCAGAGATCTGCCACGAATCACATTGCTTCACTAACCGAAGTCGCTGAATTCTGATCAGTAATGTAACGATTCAGGAGAAAAAGATCAAGTAATAAGTAACGATAGCAGAACTGAGTCAATAATTTTAACGAGAAACACTTCTGCAATATAAAAAGTAAGTGGACATGGAAGACGAAACGATTGAATTTTGCCGGAAAGAAGAAACTTCGTTATCACATCACTCTTGATTCTCATCGAAAGCGTGTCTCGAACGTTCTCTATTCAGAATCAGCCAATGCATAGAGCAGTTTACATTGAGCGAGTTGATCCCATAAATCGGATTGCGATATGAAACACTAAATACTTTATCCGATTCACAGTGAAACTCATTTTATTAACTAACAACGAACAAATACGCGAAATACTAATGGACGGGGAAATTTTACAGATAGTTGGAGGGAACAAAAGCATAAACGACAAAATTAAATTTCGAATGAACGTCAAAGAATTTATTCAACAAATCTACAACTGTGAACACGATATATGCGGGAAACTCGGCAGCGTACATGACATGGCAATACGCTAGATACCCAGTAACTGAAGGTGAACTTACTGACCGGAATGGAAATAACCAGTACTGTTTGAAATGAAATAAGATGAGTTTTTCAAGGACTGAAGTGACTCCATAGTTGGGAATAAATTCTAACCACTCTCAGGCGGGTTTCAGCAGCCGTCAATTACTCCGAAATAGGGTCGCTTCAGAATTTAATCGTTTATTTGATATGAAATTCCCCTTTCGACTTAGCCACAAATCTTGTTGTGAGTATACATATGGTAGGCAAAAATTTCCTACGGCTACTGGATGGTTGATGCCCACAATGGTGGTTTGCAAGCTAACAATAAGCAAACTTAAGAACGCAAAACGTGAAGGGCGGAGGCATATGATGATGGTAGTTCGTGGGCAAGATTCAATGTTTTCACAATCTGCGATAAAACAGCACGGGATTAACAGCGTCCTTCATCCATGTGGATTCATTGCTTGGCTGATGGATAAATTTGGTATAAAAAACCAACCATGATATTGTAAAAGTGCAAACAGGTGTGGTTATCTTCCCACTGCATATGCTTGCACCGTGCACGTGGAATTCTGGGAAACATAACGAAATGCTTAGTCCAGCTGCTCTGCAGAGCCGTGTAACAATCAAAAGCTACCAGATGGAACGTATCGTTCTCATGCATCAAGCAAAAATAAACTATGAATAAGCTAATGTACAAAGTGAAATCATAAGTTACACTAACAACAACAAGAATGATGAATAGAAAATGATATAGGCGATAAAATATAATCTGTAAAATCATAAGGTAGGATATCAGTTCATTGTCAGATTCAGAAACACAGCTTTCGAGACGGTTCCGAGAAATCTCCGGTGATAGGTAGGGCGAGAACCTGGATTACCTGGATTGGCCAGACTATCGAACGTTTGTAAAGTTGCTGGCCACAATGCTCACTTTTCTGTGCACATTGTTTTAGCCTGAATTTACGCCACCCCGCTGGCTAGGCGAGCAGGCCAACCGAACACAACCGAGTAATTAACTAGTAGCCATGAATATTTTGCATAATTAATCGTAGCCAAATATCAATCCAATAAATAATCATAACTCTAGTAATATAAATATTCCGCCGATTGCTCGCAGCGATTGACAAAACAACCACTCGACGTCCAAATAACAATATTAGAGCGAGAACCATTCGAATGAAAGCGATCATTCTGATGTGGTGATTGCCAATATGAAACAGAGGAAAAATGACGGTAACAATTACGAGCATGAGAATATGTGAGAATGTTTGGGAATAACTAACACCTATTGATAAGTAGGAGTTAATTACTCGCAAGCATTAGTTATTCGTTTTGCGTTAGTTCCTTTCTTAAGAATTGTTGAGCATAACAGCACAAGCAGTTTTAATTATCCATCAAGATTTGTTCATAGTGAACATATCCGCGGATTAATATGGCTAATTACGTGTGATTGTCAACCACAGCAATAACAACCGCACAGGATGTTCAATAATTATGTGCTCTATTCATGGAATAAACAGCAAATACGCAATATTCATTCATTTGAATAACCGTCCACGTCCCGCTAGTTGATGCCATCATCACGTAATACCTTTCTTCTTGGTACCATCATTACGTCCGTCTGCTCTCCTCCTCGCACCCTTTTTAAACTATAAGACTTCCATAACGATAAGAATACATTTCAACACGTCATTCAAATTCATATACATCATTATAATTTCTCTTTTAATCACCTAACTTTTTTCGTATTTCATTACGGGAAATTTCAAATTGCAATTCTATAAAAATCTGAATTCCTGGTGGTCAAAGTGAACGACCTTTGAAGTACACAAAAAACGATGAATATTTCGCATTCGTTGGCTGTCATGAATAACGTCATGTACGGAATAAACTATTCGATCCAGCAGCATGTGCTTGCTCGATACAAAAATGTTTATTGTGGAATAATTAAGAACGGCATGTTGTCTGTCACACAAACTCATTTCGAAATTGTTTCTCTGCGAGTGTTTGTTCAATCCACAAGCACCGAAGAAATTGTTTTTAGACTTTAAATGTTTGCAGTTTTTTCAATTGCAATGGTCTTTCCGCACCAGCCGAAATTCAACATGCATAATAAGTTTATTAGATTTGTGAAAGACTGAAATTTTATCAAATGTTACTAAAACAGTTTTAATATTAGTTAAAGACTTTGGGGTCGCGAGTTCAACTTGCAGATATGTGTTTTCTAAGTACACCATCTGAACGTTTTTGGCTGTTTAAGTATCAAGTGATGTCGGATCCGAACCATTGTGCAATGCTGTGAAATAGGCAGGAGCAGAGCTCATGAAAAGACGAAGTAATAAGGCAACAAAGTGCTTGTGACATACGAGATTCCATTCACAACAGTTCGAATCATGCAGCAAAACAATTCCTCTAAACAATAATAGGGAGGAATCAAATCATTCGAAACAAATAATTTAAAAGATCAAAATTAGAGTAGATTTCGCTTATCAATTGAAGGCTCCGACTGAACACATGAATACAGCATAAGATAGATTGTGTTCAAAAAGTTACTGCATCTGCAACGCCCAACACTGAACCCATAGTTGAATTTATGTCATGCAAATTTTGTGATGCGTAATTTTATGTTGGTGACCGAACGAATCTTCATTTTCATGTTAAGGTTTGTTTCTTATCTCAATTGCTGCTTTGTTGATCTGGCTATAGATCACAGCTGGCTGCTAACAATTCCATTTCATAAAATGTACCAGAAAACTGCTTGAAAAATTTTCCGGATGATCCGCTTTCAGCGCTTTTCGATGTTGCTTTGAGGGCGCAGGAATCGCACATTGGATTGGTGGAACAATCATCTTAAGGTTCATGACTGTAAACGTTACAAAACGAATCACGGTTGGGATATATCACGACAGCAAGGTGTCACAACGATACGATTTGATGTAAATGATAACTGAGTGGAATTATAGATGAGAATGAAATCAGACGATATTTGGAATTTGTGGAAGAGACGTAGTTTGATTGACGCTTGCATAAAGGCCTTCTTTGAATTCGGTGTTCGGCGAGTCGAGCATCTCGGCGATCATACGCTTCTGCTTCAAGAAATCGAAGACGGCACGTTCATGGAGCAGAAACACCAACGCTTGTTTGGTGCCCGATCGTAACGCTTTGAACACACGTGCACTAACAAAGAACAGGTGCACACGGCCACACAGTTCGGGTGCATTCGACGATATCACACGATCGAATCGCACAATACCTGATGATCAACTCAAACATTTTAGCACACGAACACCAACTATATCATGCACAATATCACTTAGCCGCAACTTAAAATTCATGCTCGCTATCTAGAAGAAGGTCGCTTTGTCTACCGAATATTGCAAATCATTGAAGGGTATATTGCAAATGGACTTTTCCGATTCATCACTTAATGATGGCATTTTCCACAATTCATGAAACTGCCTTCCAGAAACCTTACCAAGCAATTTTGTGATCATCAATGATCATCATATAAAAACAGCAAAATCATTTGCACTTGATCAAAACGCTATCATAAGATCATGTTCGAAAACATCACAGGAACTGCGTTCATCGAAAATTATTCACAGAAAACATTTCTTCTCAGTTTTAAGGTGAAGCGCATAGTTGAATAAGGCAATGCAAGAACCTTTATCGACGAAACGCTGTTTAAGAAGATCGCAGATCGGAATCTCATCACTTCTCGATCGTGCCATCAGAATTCTGTCGCATTTCGAGAGAAGGAAGACAATAGTTGCATCTCTAAAGTTCAGTAAAGTAATTAACTAATTGAATATTTCGATAGAATTCATGAGATACAGTAAGTTCGTGGTTGGTGATTGTGTCTTTCAGAATAATTTTGCTGATTCCGAATGAAAAAAATGTTTTCTTCAGTTTCAAAATGAAGCGCATTCCCTATTGAGAATTCTGCTCGCAAATGATAATATTAACTGAAAGTGTACTATGAAAACCATTGTCATTTGGTCATACCTTATTTTAAAATAGAATTTAGAAAGAAGTGAGCGAATAATTGGATTAGGAGTGCTTGAAATGTTGTTACGAAATATGATGTTCCCGGAAAACAATGCAAATTGCTCGTATGGAATGGAGGCGAAAATCGAATCCACTCGTTGTTTGACGAAAATCAAGCCAAATCGATTGTATAGTCCTGCTCGTTACCATTTAACAAAAACATGATCGCCTCATCGCTTACCTTCGGAAAGCAATTTTAGCGAACGTCAGATCCTCATCACTTGGAACGCCATTGATAAGTATGAAAACGGCAGTGAAATTCGCCAACTGATATTGACTGCAAAATGTCAATCATCAGTTTTCAAATAATAAACAATGGTTTAGTCTAAAATCATATTATTGAAAGTTCACACTGATTCAGATGTTCAGAATTACTAAATTTGATGAATGATTCGAAAAACATGAATCAACTCGAAGAAACAGCGTTCAGAATGCCTTAAGATCACGCCATATTGACCAAATGGATGGCAAAAACCAACTCGATAAACTCAAAAAATGCACTGATCTTCTTCGGATAATGCAGCTCCCATAGCGTCACACTATACGCCAATAAATCGTCATCAAATTCGAATCTTTCACACAAAGATGCGGATTTGCTTCGGGTGCGTCCAGCGGCCATTGGATGTCTGCTTGACATTCCACGAATCGCATTGATCAACGACGATTTGCCTGTTCCTGAACCACCAGCGAAGGCGTAGTTGAACGTCGTCTGAAGGATAAAAACAGATCATTCGCAATAACAAACTTCTTTCGCATGCTATTCAAAGTATCCGTCTTTTACAGTTTTCGTTCTCAGCAAGTAAATATGTCGATGAGAACGAGAATGGAAAAGAACTGAAGATGAGAGAATGAAAGTTGCCTCCAAAGTGAGGCTGAATTCTTTTCTCAGATTCTACAGTGACGAAAATAGGTGACGGAAGTAGGAATAATTTCTGGATGTGATGAGTACTGGCCTTCTGATGAGAGGATACACAGAAATGAGGGGCGAATCTATCGAAAAATAAACTTTTCTGAACTTTCACCTTTCCAGCTCGCCTGGTCATACATTTTGAAGGGTCAGGATTAGTGTGAACGCGATCGTCAATGGAGTACGATATCTCAAAACCAGCATCAGCTAGAACCGTCGCCGAACGATGGCTTGCACTGTCTTCCGTGCGTTTTTGCGTGGGCGGTGTGCGTTTTTGCGTGGGCGGTGTGCGTTTTTGGGTAGGCGGCTATAATGAATCGAAGGCAAGAATTCATAAGTGAGGCATTTATTAAGCTGATGGATTGTCATGAATTCATGAACTTTGCAGTGATTTGCAAAAAGTGATGGCAAAAAGTTACACTTTATAGGTGATTGAGCGACAAGTGACGAGAATCAGGGAGTTACCGTGGTGTATTACATTTGGATTGAGGCTCATCCCTAGGTTGAGGTATCTATTAAACAAGGGGACGATTCTGTCATACAAGGATGAGGTATTTATTAAGCAAATGGACTGTCCCATTGTGTAAGCCTCAACTTAAATCTAGGCTGAACTACAGAACACCGCCATATCCCACTGTGATTATTGGCATTTCTGAGTGACTTGTTCCACATAACTGTGATTGTTTCAAATTTGGAATTGTGAATTAACATCTCAACACAAGTTCTTTCCTTTGTCTACGGTTTCAAATTGCGAAAAGAACTTCTGATTCCCTAAATTTCGTTGGCTGCGAAAATTTGACTGAATATGTGGCTTCACGATGTGGATTTAGCATAGATTTGAGGCAGTCAATTGTTGTACTGCAGTGTGTTCCCACCTAAACACTTCTAATATTTATGCAATCAGTGAAGTCAATCCTATTCTCATTAGTAGAATATTACAATTCCTAAGCGCGAAACTCTAGAACGGTTCTCAGAGTACAAAAGTACAAAAATTTCAGGATATGGAAGCAATTGATAGCCGTTCGGAAGGACCAAAACATATTGTGTACGATCAAGTCAATCAACTAACAGAACTATCGCCCATTTGGTAACGTGCCGATAGTGTTGGTCGCAGACTGTACGATACCCTCTGAAACATATTCAAAGAGCACACTGAATGTTTCAAGTTATTCCATCTCTACAGAAAGCCGAAGGGCAATAATCGTAAAGGAAGGAGTGCGTCGTGCTAGAAAATGAGTTATTGTAAAGAAGCTGTTTGTGTGCTAAATGCGTCTTTGAAACCAGCTAGACTTATTCTTCAAGGCATTTTTTTTTNTTTTTTTTTCAAGAAGACTGAGAATTTGTTCCAATCAGAAAAACCGTCGTGCAGCGATAATCACAATCAGCAGTAATATCGCGGAACTTTGCCATGGTTATCGTTGATAGCGCTGTGGGAAAAAGCGAATAGTGTCCACGAATGCGTTGGATCAGATTCATTTCTCCTTTAACTAATCGCTTTCAATTGGTTGATTCATCAAGATGGGACTCACTTGCTTCCTAAGCGAATTCTCGAGTGCATAATGGCAGCCTGGTTTCAATCCGATCAACTCCAGCACTCTGTCTTCATCCACTTTATAGCGCAAGCAAGACGTGGTTCCATTGAGTTGGTCCTTAATCACCGCTGCACTGATGTACAGCATTTCGATATCGGCCAAGATTTGCGCCTTATGGTGAAGCATTCTCGAGAACACATTCCGTGCTGCAGTTATGATGAATCCAGTTCATTTCGCACACCAACAACGATGTTCCATTAAAGATTTTGCGGTTAAACTCTACTATATCGAGGAATCTGGTGAAACGTTCTCTAATCGCGGAAAAATAATCGCTAAAAACGAATTTCGAAACTACTGAAAATTCGTGTAACCATGAATGCATAGGAGCGTTCGTTATTGATGAACATAAGTATCGGGTTCGTTGTGCTATGATGACAACACCTACACCTTACCTTTCTGCTGTCAACAATACTTGGCTTTTTCACATATGAGGAATTTTAGCGAGAGAATTCGACACATTCAACGTATGGTCAACTCGGGCATGGTTACAGGTCAAAAGTAACATGGAACTGACTTTGCACTCGTTGAGCCAAGATAAATTCACGCTTCCAGATAAGAAAATGCTTTTCATGTTGCACGCAAACTATTCAAAACGTTTTCAATGCGATGGCAAACAACCTCGTTCAATGTAGAGTTCTTTGAGGGTATCGTTGATTTCCTCGTTTGTCTCACGTGATTCCTCATCCAAATCGTCATCAGTCTTTGTACTCAACAACACGATCGGCGTTCGACGGCTGTGCACAATTTTCGAGAACACAATATCGTCATCATGTAAATTTCCGTCAGCAATCAGCACAAATATCAGCTCGAATAAATGTAGCTTATGGGCACTGAAATTTTGTTCAATCCAATGCATCCAACACCATCCGTCTTTTGTGGGACCCCTCCAGAGAGCAAAAATCTCGAAGAGGAAATTTGTGTTTACTTGAACGACAATGATTTATTTGCATGGGTAAAGCTGAAGTGTTGAAAACTGCAGGCATTATATTTCGAAAAGGTGTCTTTTGATGTGAAAATAATTTGTCTCTCCAGCTTTTCAAACAGTGTAAGTTTTAGGCGGCTTACACAAGAAAACGATTTGATTTCGTGATCGTTTAGGTTAATTTTCTACGAAGCAAGATTTCACGCAGATTCTTTTGCGGGTAGAAGGCATCTTTTTGAAAGATCGGACCTAAGGATTTGCAAATTTAAAAGAAACTGCCATCCTGATGCTTTCTGATAATGCGAATGACCGCAGAAATTGTAGGCAAATGTCATTCATAGAATAATGGCAGTGTTGGGCAATAGCGCGCTATTCCGCTAGTCCGCTAATAGCGAATAGCGGAATAGCGGAATAGCGATATCGGAAGTTCGAGTGAATAGCGGAATAGCGATAGCGAGAACGGCGCTATCGCTGTTCGATAGCGGGCAACTTCCGCTATATTCCGCTATCTTCCGCTATCAGTTTATTTACAAGTGAATGTATAGTCACTGAGATGCGCAATCATTGAGATATCTATATTGCGATGTCTAAGTACATATTTGTGCTGCAACGCTCCACTGAATTCGATCTACCGAGCTCCTGCGGGCGATTCGAAGTTGAACATTCAATCGTATTTCGCATATTTTCTTTTAATGCTCCCCTATCATCTCGTTTCAACTCATAACATTATGTGACTCTTATTGATTTCAGTGGTGCTGCGAGGAATTTTTCTTCGTTTTCATTTTTTCATCCAAGCTTTTTTCCGTTTTCTTTTTCGATCGTGTTGATCGTTATGGAA